TCCACAAACCAAAATCTGGGTGCTTTTTGCAGACAAAAATGAATGGTATGCGACCAGAAGTTTAAATCTTAACCGCATGGGACAGAAGGTGTATTCTACTGCACTTAAGAACTTTTTAGCTAAATAACTTCCGAACGAATTGTCCAAATTAGATAAAAATTAAAATGGTTGTTCCTTCATATAATTAGAGCAGATCTGATAAGTTTCAAGGAATTATCGGTTACTAACCGCCCTCTGCACCGGATTATATCCGGCCTAATTGCCCTCCCGCTGAGTGTTTGCACATTGAAACCGAACCAATATCAAGAATTTACTCTACTAAAAGGGGTTTTTATGTTTTCGATATCGCTGATTCCAAATATTGAATTTAATTTTTCGAGAAATCAAAATAAGAGATAATTTTTGAAACCCCCCTGAGATAAATGGCATTTTTCTGCAATAAGGAAAAGCGCTATGCAAATTTTGATAGCGGATTTGAAATCTACACCAAAAAATTACTATTCGGTATAATTTTCAAGTTTATCCGACCAGTAGTTTTCTTAAGTGCAGTGCAATACACCTTCTGTCCGAGCGCCTCTATCCCCCGATCTGTCCCATGCGGTTAAAGTGCGCTGCTAAATGATTAAGGGAAGGCGCGGTTGGAGGATGCGGAGATGATTTGACCAACTGGTCATCAGCAGACCGCGATCAAACAACAACTCGGTTAGTGCCAGATCTGACCCCGAGGAACTGTAGTCCCGGAAGTGGGGCTTTCTTGCGCACTTTGATCGTGCATTTCTCAAATTGGGGGATTTTGAGCGGCTCAAGAATTCCTGGCGGCGGCGCGGTTTGATCCAGCATAGAAAAAGAACTGTCTGGCCGTTTTACTAAAAAGCCAGCGCGGGATAACCGTAAGCCAAAGGCAAACGCGGGCTAATCCCGATCGAGAAGAGTATCGATAGCAAACTTTCACTTTTGATAGCAAGAATTTTAAAAAGAAGCCGCATTTTCTTTTTGCTTCTGTAATGAAATAGGGCAAATTACAAACAAATGCGCTTGTGTGCCCAAGACTGCGATAGAGTCAACGAAGGGCACACAGGGTGTGATGAGTACCCCCATCCTGGTTGTCAGGAACAAACAGTAAACAGTTTTTTCGCACCAGGAGACGGAGGGTCAAAATATTTACGCCACCGTACGTAAACTTTATTATTACGCCTGGCATTATTTTTTATCTGGCGCGAGTTACCAGTAGTACACTTGGTCTATCACCAACTCCATCGGAAGGCGCTACAATGAGTTAATCCGCTTATCAGACGGCACCGTTCTTGAGAGTCCAGTCTTAAGGGTGGAGTACTTTGAATCCATCAAACATCAACTTTTTTAACACCCACCACGAGCGCTAGAATTTGCTGAAAATCGAGGAAAAAATGATTAGCGCGTAAGTTGCGTATTTTTATTTCCTCGCGAAAGCTATCAATTTTTACTGTGATGATTGCTAGCTTACTAATCTACGCGCGTTAAAACCTGTCAAAACTGGAATAAAATATTAGCTGAGGGCATTTACCATTTTCGCTAATTTTGCATTTTCGCATAACTGAAAAGGCTTCTCATAAAAATCCAGAGTTCATAAGCAATGTTTTTGACTGTATTCGCGTGAAGATGTAAATGCACGGTATACCCTTAATCCAGCCCTAATCGTCTGATAAAGTTGGAATATAGAGCTCCGGGCATAAATCCGACCGCGATTCGGTCGACTCGCTAAAAACAGCAAATGCGAACCACACATCCGTTTATTCGCGACTGCGTGGAACTTATGTCAAATGTCTTCATCCTCGATTTCTGGCGCAGTTCCATTTGGTATTAAGAAAGAGGTGCTTAATTAACTTTTCGCTACCAACTTCTCCTCGTCCAGGCTGGAGCGAGTTTGCCACCACGATTCTGCCCTGTTAAAATATTCATTTTGAAGGGGCAGGGAAAGTAGTATTATATCGCAGCAAATATTTTTCGCGCATCTCCAGCCGCCCATGCTGGTGCATTGTCCAGACAGGTACTGGCACCAGGCCAGATTTGGCGCGATCTCCGCCTTTCTCCAATTTGATTTTTTGAGGATAAAATTCGCAAAAAAGAAAGAAATTGAAGAAATCTCCATGGTAGAATAATTGAGTCAGGTTTTGAAGAGGTTAAATGAAAAGCCGCGTAGCGGCTTTTGAAGACGAAGCCGCGAAGCGGCTTCGGAACATTACCATTACAGTTTAATTTTCATATTGGCGAAGCCGCTCCGCGTCTTCGATTTTTAGAAAGCCGCTACGCGGCTTTTAATTTAGCCCCTTCAAAGCCTTTTCCACTAGGTCTTGACCTCATTTTGAAAGTAAAGTCTTACTGTCACTGTAAAATCAGTATTCGCGCGGGGTTTGGGATAAGAGAGAGTCAAGAGATTATTTCAACTATCCACGGCGCTGCTGCTTTTCTTGACGGCATCAATTTTCGACAAATTGAATTGTATTCTGTAAACGCGCTTTAGGGCTGTTGGGGAGGGCAATTCTTCGCAGCGATGGTTATGAAAAATCGACCCTGACAAGTTTGTTACTCAGGGCGAGTCAGAGGGCAATTTTCGCGAAGCTAATTTCGCAATAAAGCAGGAATTGCTTTAATTTTATCACCTTGCTTGTAAACCATTACGATCATGCTTCGTGTTTCTTCGAAAATAACGAGAAAAATAACAGGAGCCAGTTTTTTGGGTCTGTTTCTACAATCGCATTTGAGATTCAAAAAGAGCCAGCTCCAAGTCAAGTCGTGTGTGGCCCAATTCAATTAATCACCATTTGTACAAATTGAATTAATGGTACCATGGATCAGTTCACGGATTATGGTAGCAGCGCGCTGAGTGCTCTGCCCGGAGGCGTGAGAGCTCAGAATTGTATCCGGAAGATCGAAAAATCGTTATTTGAATTTTACTCGAATTTTTTCGAAGAAAAAGCGCTAATTTGAGCAAATTTCACGCCCGAAGTATTGAGTGTTCAATTCAGTAGTTCTAGGACAATATTTACACTGGCGATAAAAATCCAATGAATAGATAAACGTCAGTAAATTTTAACTTAACAGATTCATCAGCTCCGACTTCCGGCTTTGCGGATTCGCCCTGAGGCGCGTGTTGGCTACGAGACACGAAAGATGATGAAATAGATACGAGAAAAGTTCGGTGTTGAGAACAATTCGCACTTTTTCAGCTGCCATCGTTACATAATAACGTAACCAAAATGGAATGAAATGTTGGCTTTGTGAGGTCATTTTTCATTGGATCAAATTTGACAGAGGCTAATCTTATTTGTCACAGCTTTTTTTCTGTTTGCATTTTGATCTGGAACATTGTGTCAATATTTCGCTAACGAGTTGGGAAAAGAGAATCGCAAGAATCTCCCTCGCTACTGTTTAATTTATGCATCTCGAAGACGGAGACAAGGTCAAGTGTTTACGACTGTTAAAAGAGGTGTTTTAAGTTGTCACCCCCTAAGTTACAATTTCCGGGCGAAGTGCCGTTGAAACCCGGAAATGCCAAAAACCGACCCCTTTTTTCACATTATTCATGATGAGCTGGGCTCGGCAACCTGTGTAAAAACCTGAGTCAGGGTCTAGAAAATGTTCTAATGAAAAGATCTTTCAGACCCTGACTCAGGTTTTCTACACAGGTTGCCGAGCCCAAATGATGAGATCTGAGCTCAAATTGTCCACTACGTAAAATACTATTCGTATTTACATTTTCGTGATTCGCCAAAAAGGAACCCTTTGTGATGAAGAAAAGACCACTCGAATAGTATTAATCGCGAGTTGACATAATAAACCAGAGTCAATGGAAATCTGGGCCGATTTTTTCATTTTTGCTTTTTATCGCCCACGTTTGCCTAAACGGGTTAAAATTTTCGAAGCAACCCGCCCGCGCGCGCAATTTAGGATTTTTAGCTGTTGCGTCGCTCGTTGAGCACGATTTCTGTAATCTTTGCAGGAATCCAATTTTGGTACGATAGGATTAGCGGCGAAATCCGCCAAAAGCGCCGCGCTCGGTCCGCCGCGCCTGTCTGCCGAGCTCTGGAATCGCGAGCTCTGGACGGACATTACGTTCGCGCGCCGGACGTGGCAGGTTCCGTTTCAAAGTGCCGTTTACTGTTGGTATACCCGTAGTCGCCTTCGACCCAGCTAGTCTAGACGAACTTTTCAGTGCTCGAGGTATTTGTATAAGCACCTGAAAGCCTATCATCAATGAAGGCCTATCAATTTAAGTTTTGTCTCACAAAAGTTCAGGTCTTTTTAATGACTGATTATTTTGTACTGATAAAAGATCTAGCGGAAAAGAAAAGACGGAAAATGAAGACACAAAAAAAGAAACTACGGCGATTTTCATAAAGAAAAAATAAGGAAGAATTACCCATTTAGATATGACCACAAAAGAACAATTGTCAATATACAAGGCGTTGAATTGAATTTGAGCTTTGAATAAATACGCCATTTATACACACATACAGCTTGTTTGGAACTCACGCGCCCCAGGGCAAAACTCGAGAGTTTTTTTTACTTATTTTTTGAAATGTAAAATCAGAAATTTCGATTCAAAAAGTCTTTTTTTTTTGAAAATGAAAAAAAAATTTTTCCCTTTTTTTGGAAATAAAATTTCAAAGTGCAAATTTGAAAATGCCAAGTATCGTTGGGATACGTGCTCAGTGGATGGTAGCGGTTGTTTTGGGGTCACGATGGACCCATAATAGCGGCGCGTTTTGAGTGAAAATTTTGGATAGCGTAAGTTGCGCTTGTTGCTCCTTGGGAATGCGTAGAACGCATGGTATGCAACTCGGCGCTTTTTTTGCTCCTCCGCCAAACCTTGTTTGGCTAAAACAAAACACTTGCTTTGCCCCTTGAATAACAAACACCAGCCTGAGCGACTCCTCAAGCTCCTCTTGCTAACAAGCTAGCTCGCTCGCTCGCTCGTTTTCTTGCTCATGTCTCAAGTCCAACAAAAAGAAGGAACATACCTTGAATCCCCATATGGGCCCCATACTGACGGATGGGTAGGCCTGGAAGTGGTGCCCATGTGTCATGTGAGGACCTGGAGCAGCTAAGGCGGCCATCTTCAGTTTCTCTTGTTTTTCAACTTTTTCGAAGTTTTCTCTGTTTTTTTCGACAATTCGAGTCGAAAAAAGTTTCAGGTTTTTCTTTTACCGGTCAAAAAAGTTTCACAATTTTGATTTTTCGGTTTAAAAAATATAAATTTTTTCTCTCTTTTTTGTTGGATTTTTGATGTATCGGGGATGATTTGTTTTCCGGTACTAGTAAGTTAGTGTCTTAGCTAGTTAATTAACGATACATGGAAAATCCGAAGAGCGTTGAGAAAAAATTATGGGGCGCGGAGTGCGCGCGGTGGCGCACGCGCGTTCCCTCAGCTTTCTCGGTGTAGAGCGGCGGCGGCGCCCGATCCCTGAGCGCCCTCTTCTTCGAAGCATCCGAGGAGCTCAGCTCTTAGAACGCTACTGGAGAGCTTTACTCGGCTTTTATTGATGCCACATCGCTATTGCACATCGAAGCAGCAGAATGTACCAAATTGACTTGCTGAAATGATCATTTTTTCTTTTAAAAAATTGACTTTTTGACATCAAATTCTAAAAAAACTCTGAAAAATAGTCTCTTTTCCAGGGGCGAAGCCCCTGATTCACCCCCTTTTCCATTATTTTGAATTGCGGGGTAAATCAGGGGCTTTGCCCCTGAAAAGAAACTATTTTACCCCCTCCCAAATCCTTTATTGCGGATTTGGGGTTGAATGAGGGCTTCGCCCCCTGGAACCCCTTTTGATTCACCTCTCTTTTCCTTTATTGTGAATTGGGGGTTGAATGAGGGGGCTTCGCCCCTGGAACCCTTTTGAGGGAAAGTCAAATATTTTTCATTTCGAAGTTGATTTCTAAAAGCAGTCTGGTCGACAAAAATCCTCTGCTTGAAGCTGGACCTTTTCAGGATCCATGACAAGTTGGGGTTAGCTGACGGAAGCTTCAAAATGAGAATTGTGATTTGAGGTTTCCCCTGGCGCTTCCGCTGAGAAACGATGTGGAGAGCCACGTTCAATATTTGAATTGACGGTCAAGGGCGATAGTACAGTGTGAGCGAAGCAAGCGCGCGCTAGAATGGAAAGATATCTGGCCGTTGTCAGTTCGTTTGTAAATTGTGATCCGACGGATCTCGCAATCAATGACAGTGTCGCCTTCGAGCACCTTGGGAACCTCTCGAGTCGTGCCTAGCGCATCCCACGTGACCTGGATCGCCGGGAATTGTGATTCTTGCTAATTGACCTTGACGATGCTAGTATCAAAGCGACCTTTTATTTGACTAGCTCCTAGAAGCTCTAAAGTTGAAAAAGAGACTTTTTGAAGTTTTATTTGCAGTTTGACAGTTATTGTAAATTACAGTATATTCGTAAGCAAGAAGAATACTCGGCTCTGATTGGCTGAAAACCCCTATAACGCGTAAATGTCATGATCTGGGCTCGGAATCCTGTGCAGAAAACCTGAGTCAGGATCTGAAAGATCTTTGAAGAAAAGCCGCGTAGCGGCTTTTAAAACAAAGCCGCAAAGCGGCTTTTTAAAACCAAGCCGCAAAGCGGCTTTGCTAGAATTTCGAGCGGCTTTTCATTAAACATTTTTCAGATCCTGACTCAGGTTTTCTACACAGGATTCCGAGCCCAGATCATGACATTTAGGCGTTATAGGGATTTTCAGCCAATCAGAGGTGAGCATTTGTATTTAAACTTTGAGAGCTTAGTGCCTCAACTGTAGTTACTTGAGAACGCGTGCTAGAATCAAAAATAAGCAAAAAGATGTCAGAACGCGAGGCGATCAACCCAAGGTCGCAGTTTTGACCAACAACAAGCAGCAAAAATAAACGCAAAGTTGGCAAAAAGTGCTGCCACTTTCTCGTTTTTGAAAATTGATGGAATTTGTCGCTCAGGTTGATCAAACTAATACCGCGCTTAAATTTTACTAAAAACGGATCAATTCAAATTGGCGAAAGCGGATTTGACAACTCCGAATTCTTGGCGAAATTTGAGTTATTACTTGAAGCTTGCTAACGGTCGATTATTCGCCGAGCTAATCAGCAATTATGATCGGTCTTGGTGCCTACAATCGTAAATTTAAAATTAGAAAATAAATTATTTTGAAATTAACGACGCTAATTAAAATGTTCAATAACTCTTCAAATTTTTAAAACATCCGGAAAGTTAATTACCGTTTATTACCGATTTTTTATTAATTTTGAGTCATCAAAGCGGGATTCTAGCGCTTTCTTTTTGCATAGAACGTAATTTCCTAAACACCAATTTCGAGAGCAAGGAACAACGCAAACTGAGTTTGACGTTCCCAGCAATTTCCACTCGAGTGTTTTTCTCACATTCGAAAGCTAGAAAATCAAGAAAATCAGGACGCTGACATATTCAAACGTTCCATCGTCTCACAAAACAAAACTCACAACTTTCAATTTCGGGAAATAAAGTCACCTTTTTAAGGGTTTCCCAAGACAAATCATCGAGAAGACCGATTGCGGCTTCGAGTAGAAGAAAGATAGTAGCCGCGCGAAGCGCACCTTTTCGGTTCTTTTACTCGAAGCCGCAATCGGTCTTCTCGATGATAGGTCTTGGAAACCCTTAAAAGGTGACTTTATTTCGCGAGATTGAAAGTTGTAAGATTTGCGGCTTCGAGTTAAAGGTCTGAAAAGCCGCACTTGGCGCGGCTACTATCTTTTTCAACTCGAAGCCGCTTGAAAAGGAAAAGCTCTATGTTCGAAAATGATCAATTTACGATGAAAACGATCTTCAAAAAGGTAAAGTTAGAAAATCGAATGATCGAATTTTACGATGCATTATTTTGATGTTGTAGCAGAATTATTCCTTGTTTAGCAAGATTTGAAAAAGATCCTCTTTATTTCAATCAATTGCTTCCAATTCTTTCCTTTTTTTCCTGGTATTGATTTCAAATTACGTTTTATTCAGCTCGCCGCGGTTATGGGGATAATTCCATTTCTGAAAACTGAAAAGAAACACCCTTGAAAGGCGCGCGGCCTCAATAATCGACCCATCTTTTTCCCAACTCTCTTCTTTTGAAATTTTTCTTCAATGCAAGCACTTCAAAGGGATGACTTCAAAATGCTACCAAATGAAAACCACTAAACTTCCAAAAGAATATTTGATGCTTCTTCTTTTGGATTCAACTTTAAACAGTAACAGAGTTCGGCAACCTGTGTAAAAAGCCTGAGTCAGGTTCTAAAGAGCCAAAATTGAAAGCCGCGTAGCGGCTTTTAAAACGAAGCCGCAGAGCGGCTTCGGAACGTCATTTCTTTAATCTAGTATTATATACTTGCGAAGCCGCTTTGCGGCTTCGTTTTGAAAAGCCGCTACGCGGCTTTTCATTTTGGCTCTTCAGAACCTGACTCAGGCTTTCGACAAAGGTTTCCGAGCACTGAACTTGTCCTAGAATGTACTATTTAGGCGCGATTAGTGCCTTAGTGCTTCTGAAAAAGGCATAGTTGGATTAGCGGGCGAGCAGAATTTGTTCCGGATGTTCGGCTGGAGCGAAGTTCCGCCTTCGGCACGTTTGTTGAAAGCTTCCAGACTTGCCAGAGTCCAGAAACCGATTTATCCTCCAAAATATTTACCGCAGGCACGAGCCAGTACAGTACTCAGACAGCTTGGCTCTCTTTTTTGAGTAATCCGTGGCCTCTTTTCCTGTTTGTTATTTTGTGTCCACAACAGTTCTTCTTTTCCGCAAGAAATTTCTTTTCATCATTTTTTGAGAACAGGGTCTGGGCTCAGAAACCTGTGTAGAAAACCTGAGTCAGGTTCTGATGAGCTTTTCATTCAATACTGGCGAAGCCGCTTTGCCGCTTCGTTAAAAAGCCGCTACGCGGCTTATCATTAGAGCTCTTCTGAACCTGACTCAGGTTTTCTACACAGGTTGCCGAGCCCAGGAGCGTTTTTCTGTTTGGGTTAATATTCGTTATCTGTAGAATCAATTCTAAAATTTGATCTGTCAAAATAAACGCCCGGGCGGCTGCGCGCTGTTCTATTTGAATTCAAAGAGCATTTTAATCGGCCGATAAAAGATTCTCGTAAAGAATCCCTTCCTCGACTAGTGGGGACATGTTATTTCTGATTTAGCCTCCGTTGCGCCAGATAAGTCACTTTGCTTTGGATCGGGCCAAAGTTGGACAAATAAACCGGCCTGGAATCTTCATGAAATCAAGGAATGATGGGAAGGAGTCAGAGCTCCCCTGAACTTCACGATAATAATAATTGAATGACTCAGCGAAATCGAATTTTGAGGGTTTGAAAGCTCAAGAATCCTGAGTCAGGAATTTCTGGAAATAAATTATTACGATTGAAAAAGGGCTGACAAAGGGTTAATCCAATTCACTGCAGCTCGAATCGTCCTGGGCTTGGAAAACAAGGGCGTTTTATTTACAGTTAAAGTAACACAATTTGTCGAATTGTCTACAAACTAAGAGAACCTTGGCAGGAACCAAGAGGGCGCGTATTTTTTTAATAACCGACAATAAGGGCTAAAACAACAGTCCATTTCAAAATGGGAAGAAAGTTCCCAGCTCTTCAAGCCTCAAATCAAATGTGGATATTATGGTATTTTGAGTCGTCAACCCGCTTTGAAGTTTATATAATGAACTGCACAAGTAACGATTAAAATAATTAAAATAATAAAACACTGATTATTTTGCTTGTCTTGTTCACTTTCTGGGAATCTTCAAAGATCCAATTAATTTTACTTGCAATTAAATTATTTTACTATTTTGCATTCGAGCATCTTTTTAATTGCAACAGGGAAAACAAGAGAACTTGCCATACGAGAAAGCGCTCTTTGTTAACAAAGCAGATCAAGGAATAAAAGCAAAAAGGAGGGAACGAGGGTAGATCTTATTTTGATGGTGTTATGTAATTAATTATTTGACTTTCTATTTTCTAGCGACACGAAGATTAATATAATTCGCCAGAAAGTTGGAACTGAAAAGCACTCTATTCTATTCGATATTTCGACTGAAAATATTATCACTAACCACCGCTTTTTTCTCGTTGTTCATC